CAAATTTTTCTTGGCTCTCAGACTTCCAGGTGAATTGGCCCAAACTACCTTGCATCAATTAAAAAAATATTTTTTACTGGAAGTTTTTTGAAAATCTGCCTTGATAAAGCTCATATTTCATATTTAGTGTGTGGTTTTAAGGATCTTACCATGAATAAAGACTGATGGTTCATTCTAACATGTTAAACATGCAGACATTTCAATTATTCCCTGCATTGAGCATAAGTCTACGGCCCTCGATCGGCTCTCTGCTTCGTCTGTGTTTAGATATGTGGCTCTTGATGAAAAAAGTTTGGACACCCCTGGTGTAGAGTGTTCCTTTTCACCTTCACTTTTTTGCAATTACAATTTCTGATCGATTTGAAGTCCGAAGTTCAGCCACAACAAAACCACACTTGTGTTTTAAGCCCTTTGTATCTGTTCACGCCAACATTCCTGCATTTAGCCTGTGTTTGATCCCAACTTTCATGTATTGCCACAGTGTTCATAATGAGTCGCCCAAACATCCTTTAGGCGCGGGATGTTAAGGATTCATGGCAGTAAACACACTGTGCAGACTGGGGACTGTGTATAAAGGGATTGTCCAGCCAACACCAGCTAATTCACATATAATTGACTGTGCTCCTGCATTCTCCACGTGGATTTGGAGTGTACGCCTCATTGTACAACAACAAATTAAGCAAGCGGTGCTCAAAGGAAACTCTGCCTCATTCACCACAGGGCTACCCAAGTCTAAACCAAATCACCAAACACAACTCGAACCCTTTCATCCTCCCGACATCTCCGCCCTTCTGGGTCCTTCTTGTAAAACTTAAGTCAAAAAGCAAAGCACTCCTGGCTCTTGTCTGGTGAATGCTGATCGTCCTTTAAAAACATTCCGGCGACGCTAGCATCGACTTTAATGATGCTCTCACCACACAATCATTTGCAACTTTTCTTTCAGGTGGAGAGGAATTCCTGTTTCGTTGTGTGGTTGGAGGAGACTACTTTTGAAATGCAGGAATGACAAGAGTTACGAATGTTGGCATAACTTCAAATAACTGGATTGTGAATTGAATTAACGTCACATGTTTTTCTTCTCACAAATAAAAAAGTGTGTTGCAACATCCTTTCAAGTGAGATGAGGATTAGAGGGGTACCTACTATAACTGAATGCAGGACTCAACTTGATCAAGAATAAACTTAATAGAGAGATTTTGGCCATCGTAAAGGTGCACTGTGCATCTTTTCTGGTTGATGATACACCACCTGCTCGTCTTTTTATAGATGTTAATTTACTGTTTGTGTGGTATGACATTATACCGACTGTATGTGGCATTTACTGTATTTTTCTGACGATAAGGCACCCCGGATTATAAAGCGCAATATCAATAATGTTGAATTATCTCGTCTATTTTCATACATAAAATGCACCGGATTATAAGGCGCATTAAGTGAAACAAAACAGCCAGATAAGTCAAACTTTATTTTATTGGGCCATTGTGGTCCAATAAGTCTCGCCGCTGTTACTTAGGTGTTCAGTGATGATTCCGGCCTTTGTGAAAACTTGGAGCACAATTCAGACTGATCCCTTAGCCTAGGCATCCACGATCCATAGGCGTGTAACTCGCCCGGCGTTGCCTCCCTGTCTTGGTGAATGTGTATTACTCCGCAAGGCTCCTGACTATGTTAACTGTACCTCCGAAGCTTACCGAAGCGGCTTCGTAATTTACCAAGTCATATTAAAACATTTTGACAGATTTTTGAGCGCAGTTTACCACATAAAATCAGGTTAGATGTCAACAAGCACAACCAGAATTAATACATAAGGCGCACTGGATTATAAGGCACACTGTCGATTTTTAAGAAAATTTAAGGGTTTTAAGTGCTCCTTATAGTCAGAAAAATATGGTATTCAATTAAGATGTTTCATAACTAGAAATCCCTTGAAAAACATGCTTTCTTACTGTGAGCGTGGCACCCCTCTATAGATCTGACTTTTTACTTAGATAGTATGAACAAAACAATAACATCCATGGAGAGGAACAGGTAGTAGAACCTCCGCCAGAGGTTATACTGCTCTTTAAAGGTTAAAACTAAAACTAGAATAAACCAAAAGGACTGCACTAGATGCAAACAACAAGATAACAATATTTTACAGTAATGCATTAATTTCTGGCTCACTGTCATCTCATTAACTTAATTGCGTCTTCATCTTTCTTACACAGGAAGCTGCCATGCTGAAACAAGAGGCCCTTAACTTACTCCTTATACGTGGAATACAACTCTTGGTCTGCACTGGAGGTACTGAATCAGATTTGATTTACTATTATTTACCTCTTCTCTGTCATGCCATGATTCTTTAGAGGATACGCCTTTCAGTGGTTCACCTTTTTGTTTGATGCTGTGTCCAAGGGCATAGGGTATTGTCTTCCACAGTTTGTGAAGTGCTTTGAAGATACAGCTGCAGTGAAAATATTTTAAAATTAACATCTTATAATATACAAAAATACATATATTGGGCTAGTTTTAATGCAACAAAGAAACCAATATTTACAGGGCAAAATCCGAGGTCCTGATTTCACTCCAAAACTATATCAACTAATTTAATCAGTTTTGTTAGAGTTGTCCACAGAATATACCAGGACTAAATTTGACCACACAACCTAACCCAGGACTCAAAGGTAATGAAAAATACACACTGCATGAACAAACTGAACTTAAAAAGGATGAAATCAGCACCAAACCAGAACTGTGTGTGTCATCACTAATCCAAGACAAATGATAACTAACCCAGAATTGATCCAGGAGCAAACCAGACTTAATCTAGAATCTTAATGAAGCAACACTACACCAGGACCACCAGGGTATAAGAAACTAAAACTACCCCAGCCATCTTAAACTAACCCTTTGAAACACTAGTCTTATCACTCCGTTCTTAGATCGGGTTCAACAGGTGCCTCTCCTCCACCTCTCCTCCAAACATCGATCCCCCCATAGGCCAGTCTATCTGAGCAGCATTAGACCAGTATGATTTGGAAAGACCCTGAAGACAAATAAGAGAGTGAAGCCAAGCACACACAGCTGGTCCTTGAGGCAGCTCAGATCCTGGGTAAACAAGTGTCCGGCATGCCTGAGCCTCTGCTGCATGAGCTCCACAACAATAGCTAATACTTGACTACACACTGGACTATAGCCCGGCTTAGCAAATTTTTATTACATTTGGACTCTTTCAATGGACTGTCAGCCCAAAAGAGGATCACAGACTTTGACATCCGTTTTGAGATTATGCTGAATGTAGGTCTCCTTACACTGAGTAATGAGTGCATTGTGGAAGAACACCCACGGGTTTAACATGGAAAATGCAGGTCATGTTAAAGGTGGGGTATCACTGTTGCAAATGGTCAGTGGTGGAATATAACTGCCTTAACTGTACTTAAAGGTGCATTGTGTAGTCTTTTGGTTGGGTGTCCATCACCTCCTTGTTTCTATGGATATGTCATTGCTCTGTCTGGAATGTACCACAGTACAACATTAAACAGTTCTACCTTACATTAATTCAATTACAGGTGGGGGTTTTTTTTAGCTCAAAAAGCTAGAAAAGTAGGCCTTCTGACTGTGAGCAGGGTTGCCTCTCCACAGATCTGACCTGTAACTTGGTTTGGTTTGGTCTCCATGAAGATAGAAAGATTTAATACCATACAGTGAAACATACCAGACAAAGCAATACCATCTCCATGGAGAAAAGTATTTGACCGACCACTACATTTTCGAACTGGACTGAAAAGTAAAAGTACTGTTCATGTGACTGGAGGGATTATTTTCACCATGTACATGGTAACATCCTCAAGTTTTTGAGCTCAAGCTTCAGCTTTCAGCAAACAAAAATAAATATACAAAATGTATAAGAAAAAATAAGAAATTGATTTGTATTGATACTGTTGACTAAAATATTTTTTAATAAATTTCTTAAATACTTTAACTTAAGCAGATATTTTCATGTGATATTTTTCCTTGAGTAACCTTTTACCTCTGTAATTGTAGTTTTTTATTTTTATTATTAATATTGTGTACTTCATCTACCACTGCAAAAGATACTAAAATGTGAAGCTGTTAATTTGTTATATACTAAATACTTACACATCTATATTTAAAGCATCATGTCATCTAGCCAATAATTGTGAAGGCTTAAATGACAACAATGACTTATTATTTGCGGGCACCAAAATGATTTCATACAGTTTATCGAATATCCTGTTGATTTATAGCAAAGAAACTTACAGAGCACATACATAACAAAAACTCCAGGTGTTTGGTATCTTTATTCAGCTAAGACACACACACACACAAAAAAAATTAATGAAATGCTTTAAAACTAAAGGTGGGATCATTTTATCGCTGCTTAACTTGACACCACTGGATCAGAATGACAGAAAATTATTCAAATATATCCACTCACTTGGTTTAGTCTCAGGTTGTTGTGATTACTTAGGTGATTACTACACTATATAACTGTTAGTCCTGTAAGTAAGTGTCATTTCAGTTTATGTCTATACATTAGAGTTTCAAATGATCATTTACTATTATAAACTCGATTAAAATAAAGGTATGGAGATTACTTTGACACAATTTTGAATTAGGTTTACATGCAACTTATCTTATTGCAAGTAACAACAGCATTATAAACACTTGTGCCACCTGGTGGTCTCAAATGTGCATGGTCATAATTATTCACGTTACAGTTTTTATTCTCAATGGTGTCTGTCTGGATTTATAGTTTAATGAGTGGGAAAGTGTTGTAAAATGTATATTTATGAAATCTTTTTAAGCCGTAGAATATTTGTATTGGCCTACACTTAGCTATTATTTGTCCATTTGCTTGTCTTTTCATCGACAAAATTACATTGGCCGGCAGGCGGTGCTCTTTACCTGCTGTCAGCACTAAGGCCACTCACACCTTATGTATTATCGCCTCCCAAAGTACTGGTAAAAATCTAAAAAAAATTATTTCATTTGGTGGCTGTCCGTTTATGAATTTGTGTATGACAGAGCAAAAACCTATGTGCAGTATAGGTCTACCTATTTATTGTTAGTAAATGACTGTTAGTTAGTTAGGTCTAGTTAGTTTAACCAAGTTTAGTTTAGCTGTTTCTATTTTATTCGCCATTATGTGGGTTCTTCGTACAATGCCCAATGACATATGTTGGTAACCACTCCCAGGAGAAATCTCGCTCTCATTTCTGTAATGTAGTTTCGCTGTCGGCACGTGCTAGACTGAGAACGGGGAAGGTAGTGTGCGCGAGTGGCACGCGGACAGATGTGGCCCCGCCCTCGTGGTGCTCGCGCTGGAGTACACAGGGCCGGTCGCTCAGCCAATCACAAGTTGCAGCGCCTCTTTTGCATTGAAGCGGTGTCTCGCCATTGGCCCGGAGCGTGCCGCTGCAAACCGCCTCGCGTGCCATCAGATGTCTGCTCCTGGGAAGCGCGAGCAGGATAAAAATAGTGTGAAGTGTGTTTGTTTAAGGCGCGTAGGGACAAGACTCTACTGCGGTTAATAAATATGGAGTGACGTTATAAAAATGATGAGCTGCTACTGATGTGGTGGCTTAAGGTTAATGCGGATCAGCACAAACTGCAGTAAAAGAATAAAAGAAAGAGTATGGTGTGGTGTGGCATATAGGATCTGAGTTGGGCATATTTGTTATAGGCTTTTTAACTATTATTTCAAAATACTGTAAATACGTTATTTTCGTTGCATAGCCATTCAATGGCAAACTTTTGATCCACTCATCTTTTCAACTCTTAACGCTAATTCCAAAATCCAAGGATTTAGACCTACTCAAAATATCAAGTTCATAAATGTTAACTCGTTCCCATCTATAACATGAATCCGAGTTGTTTTTTTCCTGCGTGTTTCCGACTTTGTATTGTAACACATTTTACTAAAAACTCTCGTGGCTCCTGTTCGGTTACACCGTAGACAGCGCACCAGTGTTCACTGGACTCGGTGTGGAGTCCACATTCTTCCACAGCACGCACCAAACAGCTACATTTCTCGAGGAGCAAGGCGCATTCCCCTGTTATCGCTTCACAGCCGCCGCCGTGCACCTCGCTCGCTTTGTTGTTTGTCCCTGCAGGGCTGATTGCGCAGCGCGTGACTGACGGCCCGCGGGGGTGTTGTCCAATCAGCAGCCTGCCCCGCGCCCAATGGGTGAGTCCTTGCTGCCATTGGCTGAGGCGAGTGTGGGAAAGAATGCAGAGAGGGTTTCACACGAACTGGGAGCACGCAGGCCGGCTATAAGTAGCTCCACGGCGCGTGTCAGTGGCAGAAGCGTATCACGCTCCGAGACGCGCAGATAAACACATCGTGAGCCACTCCTGGATGTTCTAGCGGGACACGCGGAGACTCTCCTCCAACTTTTTTCCTAACTTCGCCTTCTATTGCCAAAGGGATATTATTTTTTGCTTGTTCTTGGTTTGGTTAATGATGCCTGCCGATACAATGGAGAAGCAGACCGCATCACCAATTGCCGGTGCCCCTGCGTCCGGATCACACACTCCGGACAAACCTAAAAATGCCAGTGAGCACAGAAAGGTAAGGACTTGCCCCATCCCTGTGCTGACATTACGGTTTTTATGATGCGGGATACACGCGTCTGTGAAAGTACTTCAACTACTAATGTCAAACTTTTTGCTGTTTATAGTCGTCCAAACCCATCATGGAGAAACGGCGCAGAGCTCGTATCAACGAAAGTCTGGGTCAGCTCAAGACCCTCATCCTGGACGCTCTCAAAAAAGATGTAAGTTCAGTATGTTTTACGCACATTGCGGGTTTACGCATTACTTGCTTAATTAAAAGACAGTGATTAACTATTCCTGTCTCCTTTTGCAGAGCTCCAGACACTCTAAATTGGAGAAAGCAGATATCCTGGAGATGACTGTCAAGCACCTGCGGAACCTGCAGCGCGTGCAGATGAGCGGTAAGTTCATATCCAGTTTTACCAGACCAAAAAAAAAAAAAAAAAAACACTCCCATTGTGCACTTCTATTTTCATGTTACTTATATTTCCCCTCTTCCTTCTCCCAGCAGCTCTCTCTGCTGATGCCACGGTTCTGAGCAAGTACCGTGCTGGTTTTAACGAGTGTATGAACGAGGTGACGCGCTTCTTGTCCACCTCTGAGGGGGTAAACGCCGAGGTGCGCTCTCGGCTTCTGAGCCACCTGTCCGGCTGCATGGGCCAGATGATGTATCCGCAGCAGGCCCCATCCCAGCAGCACATCGCGCAGCCTCTCCACGTGCAGCTGCCCTCCACTCTGCCTCTCAACGCCTCTAAACTCAGCCCCGCCGAGACCGCCTGCCCTAAGGTCCTGGGTGGTTTCCAGCTTGTGCCTGCCACTGATGGACAGTTTGCCTTCCTCATCCCAAGTCCGTCCCCCGTCATCCCTCTGTACGCCAATGCAGGGCCCGTGGCTGTTAACGCTAATCCGGTTCATGGCAGCTCCGTGCCACCAGCTGCTTCCCCTGTCCATGGCATGACATCTTTTTCTGGGGCTCCTCAAGCGGTCAGCCCTGTGAGCATAAGCACTGGCTCTGAGAGCAGTGAGCCAGTATGGCGGCCCTGGTGATGCCACCACCGGGGTCTGGACTGTAACACATGGGTGTACCCGTGCTTTGGGACGTAGTTGTCCCACTAGTTGTTCCGTTTTAAGGGACGAGCCTGTTTTGGCTATGGTAATTAATTTATGGTCCACTCCAACATTTGGATGTGGATGATAAAGAGTTGTAAATGCATTTGGACATTAGTGACACTGTTTAAAGTACTTAGTCTAGTTTTGTACAGACTTGTAATTGTTTGTCAAACCAAAGTGTTTTATATTCTTTTCTTTGTTGTTTGTGTTGAACACGAAATATAAAAAGTGGGCTTGACCCATTGTTTAAATAAAAGATATTTTTAAACATTACTTTTTTTGTCTTCACACTCATCTGTCATGTGCTACTTTAAACTAAGGCCATGCGTAATAGTTGCACACAGCTGCACACAGCGTAAAAGTCAGCCATGGTGCGTAAAGTAAGACATAGCTTTAGATCAACTTATTTAAAAAAGTTACACTGTACTAAACTGATAGTGTGTTAACATTTCACTTATAAATCAGAAATCTGGTCTCCGTTTTTTTCATTGCCCAGAAAGGGAATGAGGCAAATGTGTCTAACAATATGGACGAGCAATGCTCTACATTTTATTGCTATAAAGGTAATTAAACGTTTGAAAGGGTCTCATCCTGTATGCAGCGGGAGCTTTAAAAGCCTTAAAGCCTATTCATGAGCCTGGGAAATGCGCGCAGAGGTTAATGTCACTAACAGATTGCCTCAGTGAAAAGAGAATATGGAAGGATCCTCACTTCCTTTTGTGTATCAATTGTTCAGTGGCACTCTCAATAGGTCTTCACCTCCATAAAAGAAAAAGCGAGGGAACTTTGAGAGCGAGAGTGAATGGTAACCACATTTTCAGACACTTTCACGCACAGATATGGCCACAGTCCGTTTCTTTCGTGGTTAGTGTAAAGTCAGTGTAGGCTGCAGGATCGTGGCGTGGCGCAGGCCGTGTGCCCGCCACTTGCTGCTCGCGGCCCCCTGAGCCTCGGATTAGGTTTCAGACTGGAGACCGCCGCTCAGACATCCACAGCATTTAATACCGCTTCAGCCTGTAGACACACCAGACGCAAAGCACGGGAAAAACGCGTCCAGTGTGCGTCAAAGGGTTGGACTGGCTGCTTGTCAATTTATATGGCCTATGCCTGTAAGACCTTAAAGTAGACGCGCATTAATTTGTCAAACATCAAAGCTGATGTAAAGTAGAAGTGCAGGTGAAATAAGAACTGGTTTCGGTGTGGATCCTCCCCAGGGCTGTGTGTTTTTACTGACTTCACACAGAGCGTTATAAGAGATCGAAACTCACCACTGCGCACAGTCTTATATCCAACAAAACAACAAACCCTTCTTCAATTTGTCACAGGTAGGACATTTTGTAGAGCGGTTTAGACTGTAATAATGAAAGAAAGCTATTTGACCTGGAGTTATTCTAGGTAGGCTTGGAGTAATAATAAAGTTATAATAACCTACATTTAACAGAAACGTTGCCAAAAGGACACGAGACAAAACAATAACTTATTTGAAGGAAAGGCATTTAATTTCTGTAAGATCAGGGCTATTCAAGCCCATATACTGAACTCTGTCTCCATCATTTTATCATTTTACATCCGTATCACGTTTTTTTCAATAAGGTGAACATATAAAATTTGAAAGTTTAATTTGCCTACGTGACAACCGAATTTTCCCTTGCAGTTGGACATTGTTCATCTGTGTAGTTGCGCTCTAGCTCTAACCCCGCGCTGTGCCAATGCCCTGCGCATGACACTGCTTCCTCCTGCGCACAGACACACTGAAACACCAGTTGGCAGCGCGTGTGGCTTCTGCGGTCTCTACTACTGCCTTCGTGTCTGAGTTAATAGTTCAGAGATGCCTTTGTGCAGCTGAGGTCGTGAGAACCGAGCGAACTAGTCCGCCTGCGGCCGGGCACGGTGCCAGGCAGTAAATCCCCGCTCGCTGAGCGGAGGTGAAGAGGCGAGTACACGCGTGAAGTCGCCGAGAGGCCTGTAAACACGGCCGACATGTAGCAAGCAAAATATGTCATTGGACTTTTGATATGCATTGCATAAAGTTGTATGAATTGGTTCACTGTGGATTTATAAATAATAATAGCTTATAGGCCTGCCAATAATTCAAACTAAACCACCCACAAGAGCTATGTTCCTAAATAATAACGAATCAAACATGCGTCTTTACGTACAGATTGCGTCTGCATTGATGATGGTTTATGTTTTATTGCCAAACTGGAACAACTGTCAAACTACAGCTTTTGACCACTGGTTAAATCAGGCGGGAACCCACTTCTCCAATGAAAGAGATTCCCACAGAGGGCACACAGACTCCCGAGAGGCAGTGCGTCGTGCGTCCCCAGGGAGAAGTCACCAATTGAGGGGGGTAGGGGTCATCAGTGCGGCCACAAATTACCATTCTCATTAGCGACTGAATGGAGTGGTCGCGCGCTCAAACCTACCGCCAAACTTTGGATAACTTTTCCCTCCAAAATAGTAGCTTTTGTTGCCACCAGGTTTTGTTTACCCCGTAAACATAAAAGTATTTATAAGGTATCTATACAGTGGAGTACATTTGATGGAACACATGGGGATTTCCGTATGGCATTCGTCTGCGCTGATCCACAATACACATAAGGCTTCTCTGTGCTCTAAGTTTATAGGTTCACAAGGGGACACGTCTGTGGCTTCAGCATAGACAGTATATGGGCTAAAGGCTGCACGCAGGTGTTTTTAGAAATCAAGTTGTGGTTTGAACCTCTGTGCATTTTAACAATATTTGAAATGCATTAAATATGTACGGCTTACATCAATGTACGGTAATCTCATTTTGGGCCGTATTCTTTAAGTAACGTATTGGCTTACTCATAATTCACCAATTCGGTAGAAAATAACGAGAAACGCACATTTAGTTACTATTAGTCTAGTAGCTATAGTGTAGTATCTCCAAAACCAAAACCATAACGTTTGCTTTTACGTGAGCGAGAGCTACAGTTCTAACAAAACTGTCGTCAGAATTTGTGGAAATTAGTCTATAAAACAATGCTGCAAGTCTTAAGCATTAGCCTAACACATCATATTTGACCGAAGTGTGTAGGTTAGTAGTTTGTTTTTGCTGTTTTTATTATTGACTATAGGGTCCATACTTGACTGAACCATTTAATAATACATACAGAACTGTGCATTGTCCTTTTACTTTTACATTGAGCACATGAGTATACAGGTTTATTTTTATCCTTGGATCTTAAGACGCTTGAGAAGAACAGAAGGACATGTTCTGTATGCTTTGGCCACAGGTTGTGTGGAGGGGGGAAGGTGCCTTGTGTTGCTCCTTTTGCACCTGCTCTTCTAAGGTTCAGCACTGACAGGACAGCAAGGGCAAAGAGGCAGACAGCCAGCCAGACATGCAAAATGGAAAGATGTTGGCTTTCAATGTGCAAAATGTTAACATTACAGAGATTAAAAGTTAAAATATCTTCTCATAGTGTTCTGTGTTTTACTTGCAGATACCACAGGAAGAGAAGGAAGAGAGGATCATCTGAGAAAGCAGACCCAATAGGACTGAAAGTGGGACATGTGGTTTATGCTTAACCAGGTGAGCCACAAATATAAGTTAGAATTTGATGTATGTGGTTGAGTAAGTTCACAAGTTGCAAACAGGAAAAACCTTTGATGTCTTAAGATGAGGAATTGTATTTCATATCTTAATCACCCAATTCAATGGAAATCTTATGAGGTTAAAAGCATTATAGTTCAAAATATGTATTGAGCTTATGTTCTGAATGCTGCTGAATCTTATGTTTAGGACATTTTACTATCAAGACAGTTCCCCAAATCCTTTACTTAGAAAATATATGAAATTATCTTAATCTATAGTAATAAAAGCTTTAAACATGTAATGACATAACTCAAACAAACCCATGAAATAATAATAATAATAATTAAGACCAAAAAAAATCAAGAAGGATTTTAATGCAGATTTATAATGACTTCATTGCAGGTTATTAAATATATACTATATACTACAAATATTCAAGCCACAGGAATAAAATCTCCATGGAGACAAGCAGTCCACCATAAAAGTTATGCAGCACTCCTTTAAGTAACCAATATAACATTTTACAATTTTTCTTTAGTTGGCTATGACTGTAACCACCATTATAAGTTTCTTATACAGATAATTTCATAAGTTTTCACATGCATTAAATCCTTACACTGAGGAAACCCCTTTGGGTCCTCCTTCACCTTATTAACAGGTGTGCACTTTCATGTCCTGAGCACTCTTCTCTCCTGCTGTGAGTATTTTCAGTCGTGTAGCTCTCACACCAGCGCGCATGTTAGGTGTGGGGTGTGGGCAGACGAAGGAGGTGATGCAGGGTGACAGGCGCACCCCGGCCCGATCACATATCAGAGGAGCGGGGTGTTGTTGATCCTCACCGCTTGTCTACAGGACGTATTTCTGAGCCCACTTTTGACTTTTAGCAGCTTCTCCTGTTTCAAGGCAGAAAGTCCGAGGCGTCCGGTCTGTGCCAGTGTGCAGATTCCAGGGGAGAAAGTGTCTTCACGGGGCTAGAGGTCAGGCTTGAGACTCAGAGGTGGCCTTCAAGGAGCTCCCCTTTTTATTCCGGCTATGTATTTATCTTGGAGGGGGCCTCCCTTCCTGCTCATACCAGTCTGCAGCTGCTGATCTGTTTTAGCTCAGAAAGTCCCTATGCTTCACCTCTGCTTGTAATGGTATGGACATATACAATTTTGGATATAGGATACATATTCTCCCTTGCAGTTTGAAGACAACCCAAAACATTTATTTTATTTCATTTGTTTATTTCTTAGAGACTGTCAATGTATGCCAATTTCCACCTGTTGTCCTTATAGGTATAGAATTACAAAAGAGATAACACAGATCAATAAAAGTCCACAATTATAATTTTTCATAGACTTTTCCTTTATCCACAGTTTAAGGTACCATTTGAGAGTTGACAGTAATATACATTCTCCTTTGCCAGACAGCAAAGTGGTGTGTCTACCTCTACCTCACAGCTGTTGCCATGGTGTCCATCTTCCTCACTATCATTAGTTTATGTTATATTTTGTGTCGTATGCTATATGTTTTAACAAGCAATTTCAGAAAATGAAAGGAAGATACAATAATTTATTTGAACTGTGCTCATAATAGTTTTAGTAAATACAAGTGATCAAAGTTTGCTCACCATTTCTTTAAAAAAATGCATGATCACGAGGACTATTTAGCTCTGAGTTTCAAACTTGCTGCTTGTGGCCAGTTCAGATTTCTCACTTCAAAGTGG